TGCTGCTGCTGCTGCTGCTGCTACAACAACAACAACAACAACAATAACAACAACAACTGCTACTACTACGAAAGTGAATGCGGTACGACGAAGAGCACAAAGTACTCGTAAAACAAACAAACACACAAAGACACTCAAGCAATCATACCAGACCCATGTTGCTACGCTTCTCGGTTATTCCATCCTTCTCACTCTCGAAAATATCTATTATATACACACATACATTATTATCACAGCACGAAACATCGTCAACATTCTCCAAAAAGAACTAGATCTACTGAGAACCAGGAGTCTGTATCTACGTGTGCATGCACTGTTGACTGTTCCAGCCTCGACTGTCCAGTGATAACAAGACTTCTAAAACGTGAGCACTCCCATGTGCCGTTCTGTAATGAGCCCCATCATTCGTCCTGCACCTTTGCCCTCCCAAATGCCAAACACAACTCTACGTTCCTCATCGTATCTATCTATCTGTCGACAGGTTACACTCCACTAATACTTGAAAACGGTGAGAGAGGAATTATCACTAAATGTGCACGATATCAATAAATATGAGGACAAAACCACCTGAAATAAGTCGAGTAAAATCACACAGAATCAAGAAATCTACGCAATGCAGACACCACACTATGGGATCTACCAAGTAGAAAAAAAAGATGTTTTAAGCAAAACATCCAACAATTTAACTGACCATCAGTTTAGACCCCCTGAAAGTTTGCAAATCCCTTTTCTTTCAATCTGGTTCACTATATTGCACCATGATGAGTTTGATGACCGTGTTGGGAGGATTTTGATCAAGTTTTCGTTCTTTTGGTCTGTCTGCTGGTATCCCTCTCCCCCGTGTTTGGCTCTGACAGGCAGGGTCAAAGTTCACCTCCTAAATGGTTTAAACTGTGTCGACATGGAGTGAAAAACACCTACACCTTCATTAAAAAACAAAACAAAAACACACATATATTTCAGTCTGACCCAGTTAGTTTCTTTTAAGTTGCATGTTTCCTGCATGTACCCTCAGCACCCACCCTGTCCCTCCCCCC